GAGCGCCTCCGCGGGAAGTGAGCGGGCGGCCTCTGCGAGGCGAGTGCAGTTGAGCTGATGTGGATCTTACGTCGCCCGAGTGCCCACCTCCTCGTCCTCTCCCCATTTGTCCGCCGCACAAAGACGCTCGCACCTACAAAGCCCGAGGTGCACCTGCGAGGCGGCCTCCCGCCCCATCGCGCCGCCGCCGCCGCGCGCGCCCCCCCACTCCCCCTCCCCCAACACCCCCTCCTGCAAGCCCGTCCAGCACTTTGTTGGTACAGCACTGTAATTGGTTTACGCCCGGAGGCTGGGGGAAGAGGAAAATGAAGTAGGGGTGTAACCCCCTTTGGAAGAGGAAAACGAAAAATAGGCGGGGCCGGTCTGACTGGCGAAGGCTCTAGATAGGAACCGCGCAGCTGGAGGAGGGCTGGGGGCGGTGGCGTCGGAGTTCTGGCTGGCAGGGCCTTGTCGGCTAAAGGATCCCGGGATCTTTCCCCGGGTGTACACACTACGTAGCCCCGGAGTCCGATCCCACGCTCCTCCAGCACTTTTGCCCACCTACCCCCAACCCTCCTAAATCCAGACCCCAATTTCAATCCTGAGAGATTGGAGACCCCAACCCACTTCTCCCATGCACGCTGCACTAAAGGCTTAAAAAAGGGAAAAGTCCCACTTTTGCTCTGTCAATAGAAACCCAGCCAACTGAGTCAGCCGAGCCGAATGACGTTAGGCTGAACCGGCTCCTGGCTAGCAGAGCGGAGGCGCTGCCACGAAACCTGTACCTGCGGCTAAGAGCAGGTGAGTCACGGCACCGTTTTATATCTTTATGACATAACTTTTTTTTTTTTTTCCGCCTCGGTCCGCTCCACTCCCCTTGTCATCTGTAGTGATCATAAGGAGGAAGAAACTGAGAGCAGATGTCTGTGTGATAGGGCAGGCGGGCCCAAGTCGGGCCGTCCTCCCTCAGCCCGGCTCCTCCTCCCGCCCCCCTTCCCACAGCCTCCGGGACTGAGCTGGAGGCGACCGTCTGGTTTCTGATAGAGAAAGGTCAGGAGGAGGGGACATCTTTCTAAACACGCGCGTTAACTGAGTTAGCCAAGGCGCGGGCGCGGGAACGCATCTGCTGGGCTAAAGGGGTGCCAGGCCGAAGCTAGCCGTGGTATACGGAGGTCAGGTCTCTGACCTGGAGGGGCATGGGTAGACTCGCTTGATCCCCAAGTCATAGGCTACGGTGGTAAATCCTCCCTCAGTCAAAGCCTCTTGGCCCCTATGAGACCCTGGATAGCATATTGCCCAGGAGTTATGAGAAGATGGACCAACTAATGTAACAATCTGGGTTATAAATCCTGAGTTGGTGATGGTTGGACGATGGTGCATGTGTGTGCGTCTGGTCTGTTTGAGTGCTTGTGTGACTGGTGTATTGTATTGTCTGTAGTAACATTTGTTGTTGTTGTTGTGTGCCGTGGAGTCGGTTAGGTCTCCTTAAGAAGTAATAAAATAAATTATCTTTTTAAAGTGCCTAAGAAAAAATATTCTTGTTTTTCAAAGTTTAAAAAGTGTTAATATCATTGGAAGAAATGTGTTTTAACTTGTTCACCAAACAGATACCTTAATTTCACCCCCTGTTCTTTGTTCTTTTACGTCGTCTTTCCTTGAAATCTGGCAAGAGAATCACGTTAAATCCTTGAACCAAGAAAATCTCTTAAATCAGCAGGGGAGAAAGAGAGGGTGAAGATGTGCAGTTAAGGAAATTAAAAAAGATAAAAGCATTGAATTACAATTCCTTTAAACAAAAATGGGGTGTGTGTGTGTCACCTTGTAAAGAAAGGAATGAGAGTGAAATTAAATCCACCTGGAATTTAGCAGAGTAGGAGCCCTCCCCAACGTAGTACGTCCCTGTGACCGTAAGTCTGTCGCATCAGTTTGTGTAAATGTATCTGCACACATTTCTGACAGACTAAGCATCCGAATACTAAGGACCACGGTTTCATTTGTAAAGTACACGGATGCTTTAGCTTCCTCGGTCTGATCCTGAAGGATTTTAATTGCTAAATGATCTTCCTCGTTCCTACTCGTGATGGTTTTCCAAAAACCTTGGCTTTTCAACAACTTTCAGCATGACTAGGGTATTTTCTGTGGATAGCAACAACTTTGTATAGCTTTAAGGAGAAACAAACAAACAAACAGAAACGCTGTTACCTTAGAGAGGATCAATTAGGATATTCAACACCATTTTCCAAAACTAGTAAGTCTCATCTTTTTTAAAAAGTCAATTTAAGAAAGAAAGAAAAGGAAGCCTTTGTTCTAGTCTTATGGCCAAAGATGTTTTACTCCCTATTCTTCAGGGCTTAAGACCAATAGTGCAGAGTGGACGCTGGTATCTTACAGTTTTAGAACCTTGATTCACCTTGGGAGTTCCCAGGCCTATGACTGGGGCGGAGGTGGGGGCTGGGGGCGGGATTCCTCCAGTCACAGCGCCTCATGTCGTGGGGAGGGAGTGCGGAATCTTGCGTTGAGCGCCCCCTGTGAGTACTGCATAGCGAGACAGACTTGAACCCTGTACGTTTTTTCAGCCAACGATTTAGATTCTTAGAGCTGTCAGAGGCTAAGAAGTAAAGCCAGGCAGCTGTTAGTTCCCCAGCCTCGTGGCTGCCCCCAATACACCGAAAACCAAGGAGGTGTACTTCTTGTTTACCCATATACCAACTACCCGTTTCCCTGAGGTTTAAAAGCTAATCATGGGGCCATACATGTTGGGTGTTTGATTTGACAAAAACTAAAAAGAGTTGCTGACTTGAGGTATTGGCCAGTGAGCAACAAGTTGATGAGCCCGGCTGCCCCAATCTGCTTTTTTCCCAACCTCTTTGACCAAATAAATAGGCCCGGTCTTTACGCTTTTCAGACTGCTGACTGATCTTTCGGGGTACACTAGACCTGTCTCCAGGTGCGGGGAAGCTAGATGGATTCTGGGCAAGGGGGCCATAAGGGAGCCACGTGGCGGCTCCTGGAGCGTCCCTGACCAAACTCGCCTAGGTGAGGGCTTATCTGCGGGAGGTGGGGCTATCTAGGTAACAGAGATCGCGAATTCCTCTGGTTCAGGAAGCCGAAAAGGCCTAGGGGTGCGCGGGTACCCCACTCGGCGGAGAGACTAGGAAGGAAGCAGCTCCACCCTTCCCGGAAGCTGCGCTTGCTGAACTTATCTAAGGCACTGTCGGATCCCAAACTCCGTCAACTCTTCTTCCCTTTCGCAGCATTTAACTGTCTGGGAACCCGTTCCATAAACCTCACTGGGGCAAGGAGAAGCAGAGGGTGATGACCATGAGAGATGGAACGAAGTAGGCGGTGTCTGGTGGCGCCAGGGTCCTTCCGGTTTAGCGGGACCTCGCGGTGGTAGAGAGCAGAGTAGAGCCTGGGAGCGATGGGACTCTGCGGTGCCACCAGAAACTTCCTGAGGGCTTTCTCTACTGGCTTCCTCTAGCTCCGTCTCTATTTCTCTGGCCCTTCCCCGACGGGCCTTTGGCTAGGGTTTAGAGGCTTTGTGCCCAGTCACGGGGCGGTGTGGTCTGAACTTTTCCTGGGGGTCCCAGTCCTCATCCAGATAAACGTAAATTCTGCCGGGGAGAATGATGCGCAAAGAAAGCTAATACCTGCTGTTTTTACCGCGGTTCAAAGCCAAACCTAGCTGGGACCCGGACAAGTTTAGGAACGACAAAGGCCTGGAACGTTAGAAGAAACGCTTGTGCTTTCTCGTGTACCGAGATGTGTGTCCTGGTTGGGGAAAAAGGAGCGTGGACGCAAGAGAAGACAGACCCCAGGGCCTGTCTTCCGCTTCGCGTCCACAACTGCGGAAGGTGCGGCGGCCCAAGGTAGTGGGGGTCTGTCTCTGGTCACACCAGTTTGAGATGCAAGGGGCCAGAAGGTCTTGCCTGGGTAGAAGCCCGGGGCCGGGCTAGCGTTCAAACTTCTGCTCCACCTCACCCTCTTTTCCTAGCCTTCCTTTTAATTTGTCCTTTTATTGGAGTCCTGATATGGTGCCCTAGGATAAGCATTTGGCCTCAAGGTCGGTGGTTCAAACTCAACATTCGGCTCAACGGCACACAACAACTACAAAAGCAGTCTTTTTTCTAACCCCTACTTGCATTATTGCAAGTATTTGAGTCCTGGTGTGGCACTGTGGGTTAATGCGCCAGACTGCAAAGCCGTTTAAACTGCAAAGTCGGTGGTTCAAACTCACCAACTGCTCCTCGGAAACCCTATACAGGGTCGCTATGGGTCGGTACCGACTCAATGGCACTTAACAACAACAATTTACATTATTAAAGTATTAATTAAAGAATCAATAAACAACTTGCCAGGCGTTGTGAATTAATTCACAACTCACCTGGGAGTACATGGTTCCAATTGGCACCCTTGGCCTTGGGTTTGGGCGGAGGGGTAAGGTACCCTCCTCATACACACCCAGGGTTTTATGCCTACTTAACTGGAAAATATATATCGTTTAAATCCCTATTCGTCGTCCCTGGATTTGTCCCTTCCCCAACTGCCTCCGAAGCCGCTGGAGTATTTCGGCGCGGCCCCGGACGCCTGCCAAGCTCTCACGCAGCCGGATGTCACAGCCGGAGCTGCGCCCCACCCGACCTCTCCCGTGGGGGACAAAACCGTTTCACTGGCCTAGAGCAAGCAACACCTTGCCAAAATCAACTCTCATTTTCATGCATTCAAATGATCAGGGTTGGGAAAGGCGACTTCCCCTCCGGAGTAATCCACCAGCCTTGGTCCTGGTGGAGAATGGAGAACCTCCCTCCCCTGGGGAAGTAGATTCGGCTCCCGTCCTCTACCCCACTCTTACTTCTCCCTAGGCCTAGGTAACCACGGCTGTTGCGTA